CTAATCCTAGCACTTTGGGAGGCTGAGGCAGGCAGATCACGAGGTCAACAGATGGAGACCATCCTGGCTAACATGGTGAAACCTCATCTCTACTAAAAATCCAAAAATTCACTAGATGTGGTGGCCCATGCCTGTGGTCCCAGCTACTGGGGAGGCTGAGGCGGGAGACTCACTTGAACCTGGGATGCAGAGGTTGCAGTGAGCCGAGATTCTGCTACTGCATTCTTGCAACAGAACCTGGTGACAGAGCGAGACACTCTGTCTCAAAAAAAAAAAAAAAAAATTAGGCTGGGCGCAGTGGCTCACGCTTGTCATCTCAGTACCTTGGGAGGCCTAGCCAGGGAAATCACCTGAGGTCAGGAATTTGAGATCACCTTGGCCAACATGGTGAAACCCTGTCTCTACTAAAAAATACAAAAATTAGCTGGTGTGGTGGTGCATGCCTGTAATCCCAGTTACTAGGGAGGCAAAGGCAAAAGAATTTCTTGAACCCAGGAGGTGCAGGTTGCAGTGAGCCAAGGTCGTACCACTGCACTCCAGCCTAGGCAACAACAGAGCAAGACTCCATCTCAAAAAAAAAATTGTGGTAAAATACATAAAATTTATTACCTTAACCATTTTAAAGTATACAGTTCAGTAGTGTTAAGTGCATTCACGTTGTTATACAGCCAGTTTCCAGAACATATTCATCTTGCAATACAAACTCTATACCTATTAAATAACTCCCCATTTCCTCCTCCCTCCAGCCCCTGGCAACCATTCAACTTTCTGTTTCTATGAATTTGACTACTCTAGATACCTCATATAAGTGGAATCATATAGTCTTTGTCTTTTTGTGACTGGCTTATTGCATTTAGTATAATGTCTTCAGTGTTCCTTCATGTTGTAGTATGTCTCAGAATTTCCTTTATTTTTATGGCTGAATAATATTCCATTATATGTTAATATGGTTTGGTTTGGCTCTGTGTCCCCACCCAAATCTCATGTTGAATTGTAATTCCCAGTGTTGGAGGTGGGGCCTGATGGGAGGCGATTGGATCATGGGGTAGTTTCTTTTTTTTTTTGAGATGGAGTCTCTCACTCTTTTGCCAGGCTGGAGTGCAGTGGCACAACCTTGGCTCACTGCAACCTCTGTGTCCTGGGTTTGAGTGATTCTCCTGCCTCACTTCCTGAGTAGCTGGGACTACAAGTGTGTGCCACCATGCCCAGCTAATTTTTGTATTTTTAGTAGAGACAGCGTTTCACCATGTTGGCCAGGTTAGTCTTTATCTCTTGACCTCATTATCTGCTTGCCTCAGCCTCTCAAAGTTCTGGGATTATAGGCATGAGCCACTGTGCCCAGCCCAAGGGGTGGTTTCTAATGGTTTAGCACCATCCTCCTTGTGCTGTCTCATGACTGAGTTCTCATGAGACCTGTTTGCTTAAAAGTGTGTAGCATTTTCCCCTTCATTCTCTCTCTTCCTCCTGCTTCAGTTATGTAGGATATGCTGGCTTCCCCTTCACCTTCTGCCATGATTGTGAGTTTCCTGAGGCCTCCCAAGCCATGCTTCCTGTATAGTCTAAGGAACTGTGAGCCAATCAAGTCTCTTTTCCTTATAAATTACCCAGTCTCAGGTAGTTGTTTATGGCAATGTGAGAACAGGCTAATACATATGTGCATACCACAGTTTGTTTATTCATTTACCTGTTGATGATCACTTGCATTGCTTCCACCTCTTGGCTATTGTGAATAATGCTGGTAGGAACATGAATGTACAAATATCCCTTTTAGACTCTGCCTTCAATTCTGTTAGCTATATACCTATACATGGAATTCCTGGATCATATATATGGCAGTTCTATTTTTAATTATTTGAGGAACCACCATACTATATTTTGTAGCAGCTGCACTATTTTGCATTCCTACCAACAGTGCATAAGGGTTTTAATTTCTCCACAATGTAGTAATTATCATTTTCTTAAAAAAAAATAAAAATGATGGTAGCCATCCTAATGGATGTGAGGTCTCCATTCATTTTTATGGGAGAGCAATAATATTCAATTGTATGGATATACCACATTTGGTTTATTTATTCTTCACCTGACAGACATTTGAGTTGGTTTTTCTTTTTGGCTAGTATGAATAATACTAATATGAACACTGCAGACAAGTTTTTGTTTGAATATATGTTTTCAGTTCTCTTGGGTATATGTGTATGAATGGAATATCTGGGTCATATGGTAACTCTATGTTTAACTTTTTGAGGAACTGTCAAACTTTACCAAAGTGACTTTAATTATTTTATATTTCCATAGCAATATATGACGGTTTCCATTTCTCCACATTCTAATAATTGTTTTTTGTTCATGTATTTATTATTGTTTAATTATTACAATCCCAGTGGATAGGAGTTGATATTTTATTATAGTCTTTGATTTACATTTCCCCGTGGTTAATAATGCCAAGCATTTTTTAATATGCTTATTGGTCACTTGCATATCTTCTTTGGAGAAATGTCTATACACATCCTTTGCCCATTTAAAAATTGGATTATCTATATTTTATTTGTTGTTTAGTTGTAAAAGTTCTTAATATATTCTGTGTAGTAGGCCCTTGTCAGATATATGACTTACAAATATTTTCTCCCATTCTGTGAGTTGTCCTTTCTGAGACTATCCTTTGAATCACAAAAGCTTTGAATTGTGTTGGAGTCAAATTTATCTATTTTTCTTTGGTCAATTGTCCTTTAGGTGTCTTACCTAAGAATCTATTGCCTAATTTAAGGACACAGAGATTTAAATGCACGTTTTCATCTAAGAGTTCTATGGTTTTAGCTTTTACATTTAGAACTTAGATCCATTTTGTGTTAGTTTTGTAGGTGTGAGGTAGGGTCAGGATTCATTCTTTTGCCTCTGATCCAACAGTTGTCCAAGTATCACTTGTTAAGCCTCAATAGGGGTTTGTCTGATCTTTCTTCTTGTAATTATACCGGAGTTATATTTTTTAGGGAAGAAGACTACAGAGGTAAAGCACCATTCTTATTATGTCACATTAAGAGTATACGCTATCAATATGTCATATCGGTGATGATGTTAACTTTAATCACCTGGTTAAGGTCATGTTCATCAGGCTTCTCCACCATAAAGTTAGTCTTTCTTTTTGTTCTCATACTGCACCCTTTAGAAGGAAGTCATTATACAGCCACCCTTAAGAAGAGTTAAGCTCTACCCCTTTGAGTGCTGAGCATCTAAATAAATTATTTGGAATTCTTCTTCATGGGAGAAGATGAGAGAGAGGTAAATAGGAAAAGGTAAACTCATCAGGGTGGGACCCCTATGATGGGACTGGTGGTTTCATAAGAAGAGAAAGAGAGGTCTGAGCAGGCATGCTCTAGCCCCTCCACCATGTGATGCTCTGTACCAGTTCAAGACCCTGCAGAGGAGAGTCTTCGTCCATATTAACTTGTTCAATAATTTATTTAAATCAGTATGAAGTCATGGATATTTATTTTATACTTTGGGTAATAATATAATATTACTTTCTTTTTTCTTTTTTTTTTTTTTTTTTTTTTTTTTTTTCTTTTTTCTTCATTGTTTATTTGTTTTTCTTTTTTTTCTTTTTGCTCTTTTTTGGGGTCTGATTTTAGTCATTGAGAGATTTTTCCAGTTGACACCTGTATTCCTTTGACACTTTATTATTATGTGTGTGTGTGTGTTAAGCACTTTCTACTTACTTCCTGGCACTACAAGATCCTCCAGGCTCATTTTGTACATTTACTAACCTAGTCTTAGAATCAGCCAAATTTCTCTAAGGGCCCCTGTTTCCTTTTGTTGGAAAATGGTGTTAAAATACAAATCTGAGGGTGTATTTGATAAGTCCATTTTTTAAAACTTTTGTGTTGAAGAACTGTCAAAATAATGTCAATTTCAGACTTAGGCCACAGGATTTGGGTATCTACACTTTGAAGAAGAAAGGATAGAGATGTGTCTTAGGTAGTTTTCTGTTGCACCATAAGCTTGGTGTTTTATAAAGAAAGTCAATTTATTTCTCACAATTCTGGAGGCTGGGAAGTCCAAGGCAAGGAGCTACATCTGGTGAGGACCTCCTTGTTTGTCTCCTCTGCAGAGTCTTGAAGTGGTGCAGGGCATCACCTGGTGAGGGGGCTAGAGGATGCCTGCTCAGGCCTTTCTTCCTCTTCTTATAAACCCACCAGTCCCATCATAGAGATCCCACCCTGCTGAGCTTATCTTATTCTAATTAACACTGTTACAATAGGGATTAAGTGTCAACGTAATTTTGGAGGAGGCATTCAAACCATAGCAAGGTGGATTCTGGACCAGTGGGTGGTAAATAGTGAAAGGAGATAGAAGATGCTGAGACTCCTTTCTTGTCTTTTGAACACAGCTTGAATTTCCCAATCACCTCTGCTTTGACCATGGTCTGCATGCTGAATCAGTTTCAATTGAAATATTTTTCTCCTCATTATTAGTCATATTTTTATGCTTCTTTGCATGTCTGGCAATTTTTGATTGGATGTCAGACATTGCACATTTTTGTGGGAGGCCACATGTTTTTGTATTCCTATGAATATTCTTGAGCTTTGTCTGGTATATAGTTAAGTTACTTGTGAACGGTTTGATTATGCTGGGTCTTGCTTTTAATATTTGTTAGGTGGGACCAGAGAAGTGCCCAGCAGAGGGCTTTAGCATGAGTCTGTGCCTAAGTCCTCAATGATCTAAAAGCTTCTCCAGTACAAGATACCCCATGTGCATTCCCTGTATTTCTAGTCCAGTGTTAGTACCCAGAAGGGGTACAATAGATGCTTCAATTTTGATTCATGGTACAGAACTCATCAAATGTGAGGAGTACTCCAGAGGGGCTTGATCCTTTTGGCTTGGGTCAGGAGCCTCAGAGCAATGATGAAGGGACAGAAGAGCTGGGTACTCCTCCCGGGAGCTGTAGCCATGAGTGTCCATGAAGGACAGGCCCAGCCACTCCTCCTCCTGCAGGGGGCTCTGGTCTGTGAAGGTATGGTCCATGGTGCTCATCATTTGGGTCCTCTCCTGGTGGTAATTGACAGTGGTTTTGGTCTCGTTCACCACTTTCCTGTGGGGTGGGAGTGGGAGGTTGATGGGAGAGACAGGCACTGTGTGGAGCTGGACAGCACTTAGAGGTGGGTGGAGAGGCCCTGAAGTCAAGGGTCTTGAGGCCTGGAGCCAGCAGCTGTTCTTGAAGCATCTTTGGATGCTGAACAGCTCTGCCTCCGTCCTCTACTCATCAAACCCAGAGAGCTGTTGCCTCCCCCAAATGAAGCTGGCGGGGTCCCTGTCCTGGGGACGTTTGCTGAGGGCAAGGTATGGAGCAGCAGTGACCTCAGGCTGGGATCCTGCTTCTAAGTCTCACTGGCCCTGTGGGCTCAGCAAATGGGAAGGAAAGCCACTCCAGGTGTCATAGCAGACAGCTCCCCTGCCCCCACTACACCCTAAACTAGGAAGGTGGCTGGCCTGGCTCCAGCCACAGTGTTTTCCCATCTCTATCTCCTTTTCCCTCATCTGCTTCACTCAATTGATTGCTGGAGAAAATCAATTTGACTGTAGATCTTCAGTCAAAGATCTTCATCAAATTGATTTTTTCCAGCAGTGGGAATGGGCCGGGTGAAGCTGTCCTCCCTTCTTCCTCATGACCGGGGTCTGGCAATAGCCTGATTGATAAGGAGTTTCTTGTAGGCAGGGTCTGAGCTCCAACTTGCGCCTCTCCGTATTGTGCCCATTTCTCCCGGAAACCAGGCCTGGACCCATTACCAGCCACAAAGGATATGGAACAGAAACCGACCCAGGGCCCATCTTCCTGCCACCATCAGACCATCTACCCCCCATCAGCCCAAGCAGCACTGGGAGAAGGTGAGAGGCCTTAGTCCCTCCACTGGAGAGGTAGAGCTTCTGGAGTGGCTTCTGGGCAAGAGCCCTGCACAGCCCAGGCATCCAGGCCCAGTTTCATGCATGAGGACAGCAGATAGAGATCCTGGAAAAACTTGGAGGAAAGTGGGAGGGAGAGAAGGAGGTGGAGAGGCAGGGGGACAGCTCCATGATCAAGGGACCAAGAAACAGGCACAGGGAAACAACTTGGGACTCTTGTCAATGCTGGCGATGAGCCTGAGGGGCCCAGTCACAATGAAGACTCCAGAGGAGAGAGCTGTTCGCCTGCTCGGCCCTACAGTATGCAGGATGCAGGGTAGACCTAAGAAAAGACTATGGGGGCTCAGGGACACTGGCCATCCATGGGACAGGGAGGCCAATGAAAGGATCTTCCCAGGAAAACTCCAGCCAGCCTGTTCTGGGGCAAGGGAAGGACAGGATGACCTCTGGCTGCCTCTCCTGCCAGGACCAGGATGTCCTTCCTGTGCTAAGGAGACAGCTGTGTGTCTCTACTGTGCTGTCAGGCACTGAGGATGGCACAGCCTTCCCAGCCTGGATGGGAGGTGGCTCAGCTGGCCCAGGCCTCCTACCCCTAGCCCCTGCCAGGCTCTGGGCATTGCCCTCACTGTGGCCCAGGGCGGAGCCAAAGCACCCTTTGGGGGCAGGTGAGGAGCAGCCTCTGTGGCTGTGACTGTGACCACCTTAAGTGGGGAAGGGGCTAGGGAGAGACAGAGAAGGAGGAGGGAAGAAGAAGAGAGAAAGGGAGAATAACACGGAGCTAGAGAGATGGGGAAGGGGACAGACAGAAAGGAAGGGCCAGGCCAGGCCAGCAAGCCACAGGGAAGACACACAGGGCCATGGACAGAGGACTGCCGGCCAGGATGGCTGAACATGGAGCCCAGAGAAGACCTATCAGTGAGCGGACGCTGGCCTAGAGGATGGTGTTCGGTGGTGTGCCACAGGCTCTGTTCCCAGCCCAGGACACTCAGCCTACCTGGAAGAAGAGCTACAGAATGTTCTGGAAGGCATGCAGACTAGAAGACAGAGTAGCATTGGCAGGCTGCAGAGTCAGCAGGGGCCTGGGTTGTGTCCCAGCTCTGGTACCTTCTGCGACCTCCCACAAGTCCCTCGGCCTCTCTGAGCCTTCATTTTCTCATCAGTAAAGTGGGACTGAGAAGAGCTCCTATGGTCAGGCCTGTCATGAGGACTCTGTGTCCAGAGCTGAGCACAGGGCTTGGCCCACCAGAGGCACTCAGGAAGGGGTGGGTCTGCAGAACTAGGGCTGCCCGGCTGTGGAAAGGACTCGTGGGGATCTGAGAGTCATCTGTGTTGTGAACAGAGCTGCTGGTGTCAGAACAGGTTGACCCTGCTCTTGTGTGTGCCAGCACACGTGCACACAGGCATGGACTCCAAAGTGGGACTTGTGTAAGGATGGCCCTGCATATGGATTTGGTAGGAGGTCAGGACATCCTTCATTTTTCACTTTTTTTGAGACAGAATCTTGCTCTGTTGCCCTGGATGGAGCGCAGTGGCCAGAACACAGCTCACTTCAGCCTCAACCTTCTGGGTTCAAATGATCCTCCCACCTCAGCCTCCTGAGAAGCTGGGACTACAGGCATGCACCATTGTGACTGGCTAATTTTTCTATTTTTTGTGTATACAGGGTTTTGCAATGTTACACAGGCTGATGTCAATGGGCTCAAGCAATCTGCCTGCCTTGGCCTCCCAATGTGCTGGAATTACAGGCATGAGCCACTGTGCTCTGCAGAATGTCCTTCTGACCACAAGGTATGGTTCAAGGGCATAAGGGGCTGCCCCGGGGAGAGGACATTGAAAGGTGACTTGTCCAGGGCTACTCAGCAGAGTCAGTTCCAGCGGTGAATGACCATGACTTGAGGACGAAGATGCAGAATGGAGCGACAGAGCAGAGTAGGGAAAGTCAGAGGCCGAGGTGGCCACAGAGAATGGGGTGGACACCAGGCCAGGACAGGTGCAGTGAGCCCAAGCCCAGCCAGAGAGGGTGGGGTGGGAGATCGCCCCCTAGGTGGGGCCAGGGACTCCCAGACCAGGTGGAGCTACTTATGGGTAGTAGGAGTAGGCATAGTGCTCTCTCCTGGCAGCGTGCAAAGAGAGAACAGCACAGTCGTTGTCCAAGGTCTGTCCACCAAGGCCAAGTTGAGGCAATGCCCAGGCAGCAGGGCAAAGCCTGGGTGCTTCCTTTGCTGGGGAAGGGGCTGACCAGGGCCTGTACAGTTCAGAAAGACCTTCCTGGTCCCAAGCACTGGTCAGGCTCAGACATTAAGAACCAGGACCCAAGGCCCTTCTGGAAACTTCCCCAGGCCTACTTCAGGAGTGAGGAGGAGGTGCAGGAAAGGGCCTGGTGGGGGGGTCATAGAGCTTTCACACACAGTCATACACACATGCAAACACAGAAGGAAATACATAAACAGACACACATGTAGATATATACTCACATGCACTCACACAGAGAGGCACACATTGACACACACTCTTGCACTCATAAATGCATACACACGTATTCAAATACATTGACACACATGTGGACGTACAGTCACCAACACACACACCTAACACCCCTGACCCACACACACTCACACTCGAGGGTAACAATGCTCACCCAGGGCTGATGTCATCCCTGCAGATAGCCCTCTACTTCTCCTTCCTGCAGGCCTCTCTACCCCTGAGGGGTCAGCTCTTTGCCTTGCACCTCCACCTGGGTGGAAACAGAAAGTGGGCAGAGTGGGGAGGACTCCAGCTGGACACGTAGGATAAACCTCAGCCCACCCTCACTCCCCCTGACTGCCCCTGCATGTGGGATCACTGAAGGAGCCAGGTCATTCTCTCAAGGGGGCTCCTGGAACACAAGTTGGGTCAGGAGCCCTATGCTACCAGAAAGCACTGTCAATGAAAAGAGTCAAGCTCTGTAAAATATTTTTAAAGAGGTTTATTCTGAGCCAAATTTGAAGGGCCATGGCCTAAAGCACAGTCTCAAAAGGTCTTGAGAACATGTGCCCAAGGTCATTATAACTTGGTTTTCTATGACTTAGGGAGACTTAAGACATCAATACATGTGAGCTATACATTGGTTCAGTCTGGAAATGTGGGACAACTCAAAGGCGGGGAGGTCGTAGGCGGATTCACAGATATTCCAATTGGCAATTGGGCAATTTTTTGAATGAGTTAAGTTATAATCTGAAGACCTGGAATCAACAGAAAAGAGTGTCTGGCTTAAGATAAGGAGTTGTAGAGACCAAGGTTCTTATCATGTAGATGAAGTCTCTTAGGTGGCCACCTGCAGAAGCAGTAGATGGCAAATATTTTCTATTCAGACCTTTTAAAGGAGCTAGACTGGAAGCTAATCTCTTCAGGATCAGAAAAAAAGTCCTGGAAAAGGAAAGGAATTCTCTACAGAATTTAAATTTCCCGCACAAGAGACAACTTTGCAGGGCCATTTAAAAATATGTCAAAGGAATATATTTTGAGGTAAAATATTTTGATTTCTTTCAGTGCCTGTTATCTGTCATGTGATGCTATACTAGAGTCAATTTGGAATTTGGTATTTTATTGCTATGAAGAGTCTGTTTTGTAAGTCTTAAGATCTCTGTTTTAATATTAATGCTGGCCAGCTGCGCTGAATTCCAAAGGGAGGTGGGAATAGTGAGGCGTGTCTGACCCTCCCTTTCCATCATGGCCTTAACTAGTTTTTTAGGTTTCTTTAAAATCCCCTTGGCTGACAGGAGTGTTCATTTATTAGGCTGTGGGGCTTAGACTTTTATTTTACTTTATTTTTATTTTGAGACAGGGTATTGCTCTGTCACCCAGGCTCGAGAGCAGTGACATAATTCAAGGCTGCTTGCAGCTTCCTGGCCCAAGTCATCCTTCCACTTCAGTGTCCTGAGTAACTGCAATTTCAAATGTGCACCACCATGGCTGGATAACTTGTTAATTTTTATTATTTTATTTTACTTTTTGAGACAGGGCCCCACTCTGTCACCCAGGCTGGAGTGCAGTGGTATAATCATGGCTCACTGCAACCTTGACCTCCCAGGCTCAGGTGGTTCTCCTGCCTCAGCCTCTTGAGTAGCTGGAACTACAGGTATGTGTCAGCATGCCCAGCTAACTTTTTGTGTTTTCTGTAGGGATGAGGTTTTGCCATGTTGCCCAGGCTGGTCTCAAACTCCTGGGCTGAAGTGAACCCTTCCTTCTGCCTCCCAAAGTGCTGGGATTACAGACCTGGTTTATTTTTGAATTACATCATCCATGGTGTACAGTAAGCTGATTTCCATTTCACAGATGGGAAAGCTCAGTCATGGGGAGTCATGGGCTGCCCCAGTCCTCTTTGGGGGTCGGTGGCAGAAGCCTTAGGCCTCTGGATGCCTGTCCCAGAACTCTGGCCCCTGAATCTCCTCTATGTTCCCTCCTGAGGCCCTATCTAGGCCCATTTCAGGGTCCTTCATTCACTTGCCCCCACATCACACCATCAGCAGGAATCCCAGAACAAGGCCTTCCACAGGAAACTCTACAGATTGAGGGGAGAAGAGTGGAAGACTGAGGCCAGGAGGGCAGGAGATTGGCTCCAGGTCACACAGCACATCTCCATCCCAGGGTGAGTAGAGAGGATCCAGGGTGCTGGGGCTGGTGGCAGAGGCTTGGGTGGGGATGGGATGGATGAATGACATAGTATGATGGCATGATGTGGTAGGCTGGGGAGATGTGTGGAGATTCGGTCCAGGTTCTGCTTTGAACAATATAGAAGTTATTTTTATAAATGATAAACTCAAGTCCGGTGTGGTGGCTCACACCTATAACCCCAGCACTTTGGGAGGCTGAGGCAGGTGGATCACGAGGTCAGGAGGTTAAAACCAGCCTGGCCAAGATGGTGAAACCACATCTCTGCTAAAAATATAAAAGTTAGGCAGGCGTGGTGGCAGGTGCCTATAATTCTATCTCCTTGGGAGGCTGAGGCAGAGAATTGCTTGAACCCAGGAGGTGGAGGTTGCAGTGAGCTGAGATCCCGCCACTGCACTCTAACCTGGGTGATAGTGTGAGGCTCTATCTCAAATATAAGTAAATAAATAAAAATAAACTCAGATTCTGTCTCTCTGCTCTTGCCGAAAGCCCTTCACTGGATTCCTGGTGCTCTTTGAAGGCAGCCCACAGGCATTCCTCCAGCTGAGGCAGCCCCCATGTGGTCCAGCTTCTGCATCTTGCTGCTCCTCTCTGCTGCAGCCACACAGATGCCAAAAAAATTCAGAAGCACTTGTGTTTCTCCATCTTGGGGCAGTTGCATGCAGAGTCGTCTATAACCACATTTTCTCTCCCTTCTCTTTATGCCTTCAGTCTCAGCAGAACCTTTCTGACTCTCCCTTCCACACACCAAACAAATTTCCTCCCTCTGTTGTCCTCACTCCTGGCTTCCCACTTTTTTTCTTTCCAGCACTCACCACAATTGGTAATCATCCATTCATGTGTGTTCTTTCTTGTTTAATGCTGCTCTCCCCTTGCCTACAAGCTGTGCAAGAGCAGAATGCCTGCCTGTTTTCCCAACCCGATCCTCACTGCCCAGCACAGTGCCTGGACCATTGTACAGACTCTGTAAGTATTTGCTGTTAGCCGATAAATGAATGAAAGAATTTTGCTCCTCTGAACCCAGCGTTTCCTCCTCTGAAAAATATGGATAATTATTATTCTGCCCAGAAGGGGCTGCTGTGAAACATGAATCATGGTAAGCATGCCCATAGCAGGTGCACTATGAACACTAGTTCATTCCCCCTCCTCCCTCTCCTGAACTTGCCCTCTCCAGTGAAATAGGACTCCAGGCCCAGGCTGTGAAGTGCTCTATCCCAGGTGGCTCAGAGCAGCTGTCTAATCAAACTGTGCTGAATTGAACTGAAGTCATTGGCTCCTGTCCATCAATTGACCTGTGTTGACTAAGCAGCTGCCAGACTCTGGATCCACACAGCCTGTAATCCAAACCCTTTCCCACTTCAGAGAGCTCCCAGCCTTGGGAAGAGAAACAATGCAAAATGTTAGAAATACCCAATCACCTACTGCAGGGTGTCAGGACAATTGGCTGAGGACAATTGACACAGGTGACAAACAATTGGCTGAGGTTCCTGTCCTTACCTGGAATTGTCTCCAGGGGAAATGGGTTGAGGGTGCCTAATTCTACACTGCCCCTAACTCTGTGTGCTCGAGCTCCCACAACCAGAGCACCTTCAGACGCCAAAAAAACTCAGAAGCTGCAACTGTTGCTTTGAGCTAAAAAACAGCAGAAAGGCTTAGAAAAGTCTGGAGGGGTTGACCTTGAGTGCTCTTTCCTCCAGATCACCAGGATGCATGGAGTTCCCTTCTGCCTCTGGAGGAACTGAAGGAACCCCGTTGTCTCTGGGTATCCATGCCCATTCTGGAGTCAACTGGAGGAACCCTGGTATCCATGCCCACTCTTGTAGCCAACTGGAGGAACCCTGTTGTCTCTGGGTATCCATGCCCACTCTGATTTGTGTTCCTTGGCCCTGATGTCCCTGTTTCAGTTTGTCTTTTCTCTTTTTGAATAGCCTTTTGCTGCAAGCTCTTCCAAATCCTATGTGGAACAAAGCCCAGAGTAAATAATTGAATGCTTCCACATTTAAATATTTCTAGGCCCAGCCTTGGTCACATCTCTGCATGTGACATCCCATACTGACAGCCTCTGCTCTGGGAAGAAGAAATGCCTTTTTTTTCCTTTTGAACTGTTTCTTTCAAGCTCCCAAGTTGCAGGCAGTCACGCCAATGTCCCTGGATTTTGTGTTCATTCCTGTCTCTAGCCCAGACCCCTTTTGGTCACCCTTTCTTCGGACAGAGATCAGGCTGTCCCCAGACCCAGTTACCACCCAGAAGCGATAATAATGAAAATGAGCCATGAGTAAAATGCATCTTAATCTGGAATGATCCCTGTTTTGCAGGTAGGGAAAGAGGCTCAGAGAGGTGAAGGGACATGCCCAAGGTCACACAGCAAGGATCCTTTCTTCTTGAGGTTGTGCTGCTTTCCCCCAGAAAGCCCTTACCATACTCCTGACTCCTGCCCACAGGACCCCCTGTGTGGTCAGTGGAGATTGGTGTGTGGGAGGTGGCAGAGCTGGGATGCAAACCCACATTTATTGAGCAGGCAAAAGGTGGCGTGGGATGTGAGCATGTGGGGTCTGTGTCTGAGTGCATGTGAGCGAGTGTGTGTCATTGTGCGGTTTGTGTGTGTGTCTTGGTCAGTTCAGGCTGCTATAACAAATACAGTTGACTGGGAGGCTTAAACAGCAGACATTTACTTCTCATGGTTCTGAGGCTGGGAACCTCAAAATCAAAGTGTCAGCCAACTCTGTATCTAGGGAGGCTCTCTTCCTGGTTGGCAGATGGCCACCTTCATGCTGTATCATCACATAGCAGAAAGAGATCATCCCAGCTCTGCCACCTCCCAGCTGTCTAAACTTGAGAAAGTCATTTTTCTTCTCTGTGCCCATATCCACAGCCTAAAATGGGTGAGTGCTAATACAGCGTCACAGGTTGTTGTCAAAATCATATGAGACCATGGGCGAGTAAAGAAAAAGAAAAATTCCCAGTATAGCTGTACACTGACCTGCTGCAGCAAACTCAGGACACAGCATTGTGCCATGCTGACAGTGGCATTGTCCAGGCTCTGCTGCTTTACCCACCCTGCCCCTGTCCGGTGTCTTTCCTGAGTGCTCCCCCAGCTCAGGCCCCTGCAGCCTGCCTGCTGGGAGCTATAGCTGTCATGAATGAGGGAGCTTCCTCATGTGCTGTGCTACTGTGAAGGAACAGCTTCTGAGAGAGAGGGGACCCAGTGGGGAGAAGCGGGAGGAGATCAGGTGTGCCAACGTTTGCCCACAGAATTGCTCTTTCCAATCTAGAGCACGCCATCAGAGGGAGGTGAGGGGCACCCCCTACTGTCCTTGTGAAAGTCCTCCAAGCCCACGAAGGATGTGAGGGGATGGATGTAAGCTCAGCCCCAACCCTGGCAGGCGCCCGCCGGCCTCTGACCCAGGGCTCCATTCTCTCCCCGTCTTATACCTGTCCGGCTCTACAGCAACCCTGAAAAATTCCTCCACAATGCACTGTGTCCCTTCCTATACTTCTGGGACCTACAATGGCTCCTGTTGCTTCTCTCTGGGTCCCCGGGCCTGCCTCACCTTTGTACGTGCTGTTTTCTCTTCTGTCACGTCACCTCCACTTCCCCTCCCTGAGCTCCCATGCCTCCCTGAATGTCTCCAGTCCCAGCTCTGCTGTCTGCACTGTAAGTGACAATTCACTCCTCTGCCCTTCCCATGAGACCAGAAGCCCTTTGAGAGCTGACTCTGCGTCTGGCCACTCTGTTTCCTTAGAGTTCAGGATGGCACCTGACACCTTCCCCAGCATTTATTGAGTGCTGACTGCTGGCCAAGACTGCACTCAGCCCTTTACAGATGTCTATTAACATAAGATGATCTTCAAGGACATAAGGTCATCTTCAAGGACATATTGAAGACAAGGTGAGGTTGGGCTGGGGGCACAGACTTGAAGGTCAGGTCAGGTGGATTTGGATCTGGCTCTGCATGTACTGGCTGGGTGGTCTTTATCAAGTTACTAAGCTCTGGTGCCTCAGTTTCCCATGTAAAGTGGAGGTAATGATAGTACCCATCTCATGGGGCTGTTTTGAGAATTTAAAGAGTGAATATATAGAAAGGGCTTAAAATCATGTCAGATGCAGGTAAAGTATTGGCTATGACTATTGTCCGTGTTTTATAGATGAGGAAATGGAGAGTAGGAAAGTCACTTACTTCAGCTGTCAGCCATGAGGTGGTAGAGTCAGTATGTTAAGCCAAGATCTACCTAATCCTGAAACACTCCCCTTACTGATTACAGCAGGGTCTCAGGGCCTTCACCCTCTTTAGCCTCAGTGTCCCCATCTGTAAGGTGCAGGGGCTGGAGGGGAGGATGCCTAGAGCTCCAATGCTAACCCTCTTGCCTTCCTGAGATTCTCAGTGTGAATTCCAGACTTGGAACTGGTCTTGAAGGCTATGGGCTCCCCTTGTGCTTTCAGAACAGGATCCCAGGCACAGTCCTGGTTATGTGGCAGATTTCTGGTAGGCAGTGGTTGGCAGGTTGGCTTGAAGTGAAGTGGTCTGGATTTAGCAGGTGAGGCTTTGGGGGAGATGCTTCTGTGGAGGCCCCCAGCATTGGAGTGTGCTGATACAGGCCCCAATAAACCTGTGGTGAGAAGTCATAGGCAAAACATGTAGGACCATGTCCTTCTGCAAGAGGTCAGGAGACAGTATCCCTTTCAGAGCTGGAGCAGCTGGTGCAGACCATTTTCTGCAGAGGCCCCTGCGGGGTGGGGTGAATGCTCTGAGCTGAGATGGGAAAAATCAGATTCTACTGGGGGTGCCCTACTGTGTGCCCAAGGCTTTCCGAACCCTGCCTCATTATTACCCCTTACCCTCTGCAGGTGGTGAGTTCCCAAATCCAGCTACCCCTTGACGTCTTCCCTAGCCTGACTCAGGGCCGCCACCCCATCTCTCATCAGCATTTCAGCAGCCTCCTTGCTGGGTGCCTGTTGCAGCCCATGTAGATCATGCAGATGAAGTCAGACAGGGGCTCTTCCCCAAACCCAAATCAGGTCATGTCCCCTCCTGGCTTCACATGGCCTCCTGTGCTGGGAGACGGCAGCCCCTGTGGTCTGCTGCCTTGCCTCCCTCTACACAAGCTGGCCTCCTTGCTGCTCTGAAAATGCACCAAACTCATCACTGTGGGTCTTGGTCGTTTGACATCCCCTCAGTCAGGAAGGCTCTGAGTGTCACATGCCTGGCTCTGTTGTTTTGTTTTTCTAATATCAGCCTAAATGTCAGCACATCAGTGAGGCCCTCTGGGAACTTCTATGGAAAGGAGCTCTGCCTCTAGCGTGAGTGCTCTCAGTTCATCCCACAGCTTCCTTTTCAGGCTCTGTACTGTGCGTGGAGGACCCAGCAGTGAGCAGGACACGTCCTTGTTCTTAGATCCTTGTGTGTCCTGTTGATGAGTAATGATGAGAACATTAGATCCCATTGATTAGAAGGAGGAAAAGAAAAAAATGAGAAAAAATTAAAAAGAAAAGGGATGATGAGGACCAATATTAGCCAGGACAGACCGACAGACAGACAGACAGACAGACAGACACACACACATCTCTTTTTTTAAAAAAAAACTGATTGTGCCACACAGGAAGAACACAGGTTGCCATGGAAACAGGTAATGGGGACCTCACCTATTGTGGGGGTTAAGGAGTGCATCCATATTTCTATCTAAGAGTGGCATTAAAATATTGAAATGATGGGGCTTTCATTTCCTCCAAGATAGAGTCTCCCCAGTCCTCTTAGGTCTTCCCCATGACAACTAAAAAGCCATGGACATAACCCAGCAGTAGGCACAGGAAGGCTGAAGGACAGAGGCACGGCAGACTGCCTGGAAGCTCAGAATGTGAGGAATGGCACAGTGGCGAGCTCCCTGCCTTTCCTTATTGTTTCCCTTATATCCTGGACAGAGTGCTGCTTAACTCCCTATCCTAGAACGGCCAACAGACACAGACCTGAAAAGCACCAAGAAAACCTATTGCTCTGTGCAGAGGACTTGGTTTTACCAAGGAAGCCTAATGACAGGAAATATTTTTGTCAAATCCTGCCCTACTCCAGTCCAACACCAACAGAATAACTGCTCTTTCCCCACTTCTTCTGCTCTGCATTTTGAGCAGGACCAAGCAGGAAGCTGATGTTCCATCCATTCCCAGTTACCCTGCACATAGCAGGCATAGATAGATGCTCTGACTCCCCTGCCAGGGTGATGTCAGCAGGTCCAGCCATGAGCTGAACCTCCACTTCCAATTGGCAGTACTGAGACTTATGGGGGTGATGCACTGTGGGGCTATTTACACTTGACACCTTCAACCCCCATCTAACTGGCAATCATCAGTGTGTCTAGAGAAAAACTGCCTGTACCCCAACCTGGCATCCATAAAGCAGAACAAGGTGGTAGGAGGTATGGCTGGTTTGCATTCTGCTTCTCCTGCCCCTCTCTTGATGTCAGCAGGTCCCAGTGGGAAACTGAGCTTCTGCCTTTACCCAGCAGCAACCAAGTGATATGAGTCATCCCTCAGCTCCCTCTGCCTCTGCTATCAGCAGGCCACAGTGGGAAGCTGAGCTTAACACCTCCTTTCA